TCACGAGATCGGTGAGCTCGGTTCGTGACCCGAGCTCACCAATCTCGAGATCGGTGGGCTCGGTTCACCGGCTAACCGAGTTGGCAGATGAACCGAGTTGACCGGACTCCAAGCTGCAGCACACGGCTCCCTAACGATGCGACATCCTCATCCTCATCCCAGGAGCACGAAGAGGGAAGCTGCACACCTCACAGCTCCGTAACGATGCGACATCCTCATCCGCATCCCAGGAGCACGAAGAGGGAAGCTGAACAACTCCGTAACGATGCCGCATCCTCATCCGCATCCCAGGAGCACGAAGAGGGAAGCTGCAGCACACGGCATCAGCATCCGCATGATGCGTACTAGCGTAGGCGGTGACATACATCGCAGGCGGGACTGTGTGAGCTCTCTGTCTCTCTGTATGAGCTCTCTGTCTCTCTGTATGAGCTCTCTGTCTCTCTGTGTGAACTCTCTGTCTCTCTGTGTGTGCTCTCTGTCTCTCTGTGTGTGCTCTCTGTGTGAGCTCTCTGTCTCTTTGTGTGAGCTCTCTGTGTCTCTGTGTGTGTGCTCTCTGTGTGAGCTCTATGTCTCTCACATGTCGGACTGCATGGAGCATTCGGTGCGCTGCAGCATAGCTAGCAGCTCTGTGAGCTCGGGACTGCTCTCCACGATGGTCGGCAGTGACAACATGACCTGTCAATGACAAACACGTACATGACAAGACACACGCACACATAGACACTGGTTACTGTCGTTACTGTGCAGCTAAAGTATACACACGCACGCACGCACGCACGCACGCACGCACGCACGCACACACACACACACACACACGCACACACATACACACCCGCACACACACACACACACACAAACACACACACACACACGCACACACACCTGCAGTATTTGCTCGACTAGCTCGTCCAGCCTGTAGACCTCGTTCTCTGCTTTCTTCCAGTTCTCCTCCAGAGTCTTCATCTTCTTCTGCGCCTTCGACTTCAGCTCCTGTAGCAGTCCCTCCTTCCCCTCCAGCTTGCTCTGTAGCTCCAGCAACTATAAGAGAGAAGGAAACCCAACTATTAAGAGCACGAGGAAAATCCCTAACCTATAAGAGACGAGGAAACCCAACTATAAGAGACGAGGAAACCCAACTATAAGAGAGAGGAAACCCAACTATAAGAGACGAGGAAACCCAACTATAAGAGACGAGGAAACCCAACTATAAGAGACGAGGAAACCCAACTATAAGAGACAAGGAAACCCAACTATAAGAGAGAAAGAAACCCAACTATAAGAGACTAGGAAACCCAACTATAAGAGATGAGGAAACCCAACTATAAGAGAGAGGAAACCCAACTATAAGAGACGATGAAACCCAACTACACAAGACGAGAAAAACCCAACTATACAAGAGAAGGAAACCCACAGCATAATGTGAATGCCCTCACTGACGAACTACTGATATATACCGGTAAAACATGTTAGTATGTTATATGTATACACATTGTTAGTATGTAATACACATATAAAATGTATACATGTAATATGTAACACATGTTAGTATGTAATACATATATAGAATGTAACATGTAATATGTAACATATGTCGGCATGTAACATGTACGCACGCGTACCTGTGTCTTCAGGAAGACGACCTCCTTGACCGGCATCCCGCTGCCCCCGTCGTCCCCCGCGCTTGTCTCCCAGCCACTCAGCAGCCACTCCATGCTCTTCTGCAGGCTCTGCTTCTCCGAGCTGAGCAGCGCCACCTGGGAGCACATCGCCTCGTTCTCATGCTGCAGCGTCTAAAGGAGAGGGGAGAACAAACGTCGGGATCAGGACGCTGCCATCCCCGTCGGACCTCACGTGATCGGCTGACGACGATACAGCAGCATGCCACGTTTAAATTCGTGCTCCAATATATTCCGTCAAAATAGTTGATTTTATGAAAATTCCTACTTCCCTTTAGGACCCTGGGACGGCCGGCTCACGTAGCAGTGCAGGGGCAAATTTGTGAGAAACAGAATTTAGTCTAAACATTAACTTTTTCCCGTACACCGGACCTCTCTCCACGCTGCGTACGAGAAACTCATAACTTTAGGATGTTTCTGTCAACAGTCTATCTATCATCTATGTGAAAGAGTTAATGTTAAGACAAACGTTAAGACTTAATTTTGTTTCTGACAACGGCCACCGGGCCATTTTGCCGAGAGGCCGAGTGTGCTGATCGATTACCGATCGGTTATTAGTCGCGTGAGATTGCGTGAACTGGGAAGCTGTGTGAAGATCAGGGGATCGTTAAACATCACAGAAAAGGTTAAAGGTCAGCTTGTAGTAAATCTGTTTTTTTTTCATGTTTTTTGCGACGCCTTTTTTGCAATACCGAACGATTCCCTAAACAAACAAGAAAATAAACAAAGTAAACAAAACGAGCATCCATGCTTGCCCGTGTGTGTTTACAGATGGCAGCACACTCACCATGAGCGGAGGGAAGGCGTCGGACATGTCGCGGATGCGCGCGTTCGCAGCGCACTCACCGTGAGCGGAGGGAAGGCGTCCGACATGTCGCGGATGCGCGCGTTCGCAGCGCACTCACCGTGAGCGGAGGGAAGGCGTCCGACATGTCGCGGATGCGCGCGTTCGCGTAGGCGAGCGCGTCGTTCTTCGCTCGCAGCTCGTCCATGCGTGACAGCAGCTCGGCGTGCAGCCGGTCGGCCCGCCGCTCCAGCGCCCGCACGTCCTCGTTCACGTAGCGCACGCGCTGCTCGTACACACGCTGCTTGCTCAGCAGCACCGCCTTGCAGGGTCAAAGGTCAATACAAGGTCAGAGGTCACGTAGCGAACGCGCTGCTCGTACGCACGCTGCTTGCTCAGCAGCACCGCCCTGCGGGGTCAGAGGTCAATGCAAGGTCAGATGTCACATAGCGCACACGCTGCTTGCTCAGCAGCACCGCTCTGTGGGGTCAAAGGTCAATGCAAGGTCAGATGTCACATAGCGCACACGCTGCTTGCTCAGCAGCACCGCTCTGTGGGGTCAAAGGTCAATACAAGGTCAGAGGTCACATAGCAAACACAATGCAAGGTCTACCTGAGGTCAGACATCAATGTAAAATTAAAGGTCAATGTAAGGTCAGACATTGGTGTAAGGTTAAAGGTCAATGTAAGGTTAGACATCAGTGTAAGGTTGGAGGTCATCGTAAGGTCAAATGTCAGCATTAGATTAGAGATGAACGGAAGATTAGAGCTCAACTTGAGGTTATGGGTCAGCACCATGGGGGTCACATAGACTCAGCAAGGAGCCACTAGTTCGTCTGATAGGGTCTATGTCTCCCTGGGTACTGCCGGAACGTACCCTGGTAACTATCTGATATGGTTAGGGTTAGGGCTAGGGTAAGAGTAAGGGTTAGAATTAGGGTTATGGTTAGGAAGTAGGCGTAGGCGACTCCCTAGACTCATTAGTGGAGTAAGCGAGGTACGGTCCGGCACATTAGATAGTACAAAGGTACGTTCCGTTATACCGGACCGTAGCCAGGGTACGTTCCGGCAGTACCCGGGGAGACATAGACCCTGGTAGCACTAGTTCGTTATCAGTACAGGTAATCATCGATTCACGCGGCGATCTCACATGTACCGGAACTGCAATACCGATACTGTTGTTAATTAAAGCACAGTAATTCCAAAGAGTAACGAAGGAATCCCTAAAGAAGATAGATACGCATGGGAGGGGGACGACGTGACGCTTATGTCAGATTAAAATAAAGACGGTTACATTATTGTAATTGATACCGTTGTGGATGAACCGTAATTAAAAACAATAACGAGGGAATCCGTAAAGAAGTTAGATATAATGCGAAAATAAAAATAAGAAAATAAAATAAGGGGGGAGGGAGCAGGTCATCATTGTACTTCTCGTTTCGCGCCGTCGTCAGCGCCGCCTTCCTCGCAGCCTCCAGCTTCCTCAGCACCTCCTCTAGCCGCTCCACGCTCGCCAGAGCTCCCTTCGTCTCCTCCGCCACCGACGGTATCGCCACCTTGCCGTTGACGGCCACGTCGTCCGAGCGCGGCTCCGCGATTGGTCGGTCCTCGGTCACCTGACCGGCGGCGTTGTCTGAGCGCGGCTCCGCGATTGGTCGGTTCTCGGTCACCTGACCGGCGGCGTCGTCCGCGGCGACGAGAACGGAGGAGACGAACGATGGGAAGATGACGCCACCTGGTGGCCGCGCCGGGGTCTCCGCGTACGTGTACTCCAGGGGTTCGGCGAGGACGCTGTCCGACTCATCGCCGTGGCAACGGGGCGTCAGCGCCGTGTATTCCTGCGAGAGATTAATCCGAATTGAGCATCGCTCGCTCGCGCAAATATACACCGCCCTCTGGTGAGCATGAAGGGAAGTCGGACTAGTGTAGTAGAATAGAGCAGGTATAGGAAAGTTGATCTCTCTTCTGAGATGATTAAGAATTACTTAAAGCCTATGCGAACCTAACTATGCGTATTTTTCGATAAAACACTAAACAATAATATTTTAATTCTCATCAATGCAGTCAATCCTATATATATACGAAAATATATATCAAGGAAAAAACCCAAGAACGTCCTTCACAGACCAGTGTCCATTCTATTCTACTTTACGCTACACCAATCTGTGTGTGTGTTAACATTGGTTTGACTGTATTTGCTAACAAAAACAGAAACCGCCGTCGTGATTAAAAATTAACTGTTCAGCGGAATTAAAAAACGTCACTGTACACCGATAATTTATCACTCAGAAAAAGGCTAACGATTGATTAAATTAAAAAATAAAACGATGGGCTTATTATATTAAATTGACTACGTCACCTTTTATTTGATGTTATTGATATTATATTGTAACATTTTTGTTGCCATTTCTTTACACTAAAAGTAAGAACTAACGGGACTAAACATATCGTCAAATTCTTACCTGATAAGATTGTTTCTCAACTAGTTAAAAATCCAAAAAACCTGGACGATTTGATATTAGTGTTCCTGACATTAATTGCTTAATTGCTATGGGCTATGTATGCGTCACGAGTGTATGTTCACATCAAACAATATAGTAAAATAAGAAGTATAATGCAGCAATTTAACCATAAAAAGTGAACAGAATTACTTATACTTTATTTTTTATTATTTACGGTGACGTAATCACTTTAAGCTATAAGACAAAAGGTTTATTAGATTAACATATAAAACAAAGGGTTGAATAGATTAGTCAAAGGATTGATAGTCAAAGGATTATTTAACTTCAGCAAAATAAGATGAAGGGTTGACTAATTATAACGTAAAGAACCAACTCTCAAAATATAAATGATTCAGCAACAGAGATGAAACGAGCCGAGATACGAGAGCCGACAACAGACACATGATAGACAGACAGACGGACGGACAGACGAACAGACAGACAGACAAACAGACAGACAGACAGATAGACAGACGGATAGACAGTCAGACGGATGGACAGACAGACGGACGGACGGACAGACAGACACAGACACACACACACACACAGACAGCCAGATGAAGCCCCGCTCACCTGCTCCTCATCTTCCGGCGGCAGCTGCCCCTCCAGGCGGCGGATGAGCTCGCGCATGCGGCTGCGCAGCTTCAGTACCGCCGTCTGGGCTTCGCAGAGCTCCCCGGCCTGCTGTAGCAGCATCACGCGCGCGCGACACCGCGTCGCGTCAAGCTCCACCTGCAGCTCCTCCTGCTGCTCCCTGCAGGCAGAAACACGAACTAATCGTCACGCGCATGCTAACGTAGGTGACGAGTCGAACGTCGGGTGCATTCGGGAAGGAATGTCGAGTGACCTTTGTAAGCAGGTGACCGTTCTATGGAGGTTGTTTAATGTGTATGAATTTAATGCCATAGAAGGGAACCACCGAGCGTCCTTTGCAGTTGGTTTTCCACTCCTGTATAGGTTTAACTCTCGATCTTTGCTCTCCATTCACCCTGCGCGTGCTTACCCTATATCTCTCTCCCTCCCCCACCGCCCTCCTCTCTCCTGTCTCCTGCCCTCCCCTCCCTTCCCTCACGTAAGCTGCTGCGTGGCATGAGCAGCTGCTGGTGATGCCGCGTGCTTGGTCCTGCAGGCAGCGTGGTCGTAGCGAGCACACCCCTCCTCCCCTCCTCCCTCCTCCCTCCCTCCCTCACCGTAACTGCTGCGTGGCGGTGAGCAGCTGCTGGTGATCGTCGTGCTGGTCCTGCAGCAGCGTGCGCCTTCCTGTAGCGCCTCCACCATCGTCGATCGCTCCGCCTCCAGAAACTCATTGTTCTCCTCCGCGAGCATTTGTGCCTCCTGCAGGGGGCGCCACGGAATGTTAGAGAAGCAAGAGAGGTGGATGAGAGGGGAGGGAGAGGGAGAAAGTGAGAGAGACCATAGGAGAGAAAGAGAGTGAGGGAGAGCACGAGAGAGGGGGAAGGAGAGGGAGAGGGAGAGAAAGAGGGAGAGAAAGAGGGAGAGAAAGAGGGAGAAAAAGAGGGAGAGAAAGAAGAGATGAGAGGGAGATGAGAGGAAGTGAAAGAGGAAGCCAGAGAAGAAGAGGGGGAGGGAGAGGAGAGGAAGTGAAAGAGGAAGAGGGAGAGGAAGAGGGAGAAGGACCAACGGCTTCAGGTTATTCGCCTCTTATAAAACCAACGTGATACGAATACTCCACCAGCTTTCACCAGCTTTTTATGAGCTAGTAAGACCGAGCAACACACAAATGTCCCTACGTGCAGCCACTCTCCTGCTACTATGACATTTACCATGCATGACTGCGCCTGCTTGCCTGCCTGCCTGTCTGTCTGCCTGCCTGCCTGCCTGTCTGTCTGTCTGCCTACCTGCCAGCCTGCTTGCCCTTCTACCTGCCTGCATATCTGCCTGCTTGCCTGTCTGCCTGCCTGCCTGTCTGTCTGCTTGCCTGCCTGCATACCTGCATGCCTGCCTGCACACCCTCCTGCCTGCCTCCATACCACCCTGCCTGCCCGCACCCCCGCTTGCCCCTCCCAACGATCGTGACCTTGCACACTGACCTTGAGCCGCCGCCGCGTCTCGCGCAGCTGCTGCTGGCACTCCTCCGCCTCGGCGCTCTGTCTCATCGCCGCCGCCGTCTGTGCTGCCCTCTCGCGGCGAAGTTCGTCGACGGTCGCCTGCAGGGAGTCGATCTCGCGATCGCGGCAATCCAGCGTGCGCGCGAGGTTCTCGACCTGTGTCTCCAAGCTGTAAACATTGATTTTAGGTCTTTGCGAATTATATTTCGTAAGGATTAGAATTGAAACAGCGAACAACTTGTGAATGAATTGTCCTATTTTTCCTCTTTCTCTCTCTCTCTCTCCCCTCTCTCTTAATTGTGTCTGTTTCTCTCTATATATATATCTCTCTTATTCTCCATCTCTCTGTCTCTCTCGCTCCCTCTCTCTCTCTCCATCTCTCTCCCGCTGCTCTTTTCTGCCCCTCCCCCTCTCTCGCCCATCACTCACTGTTCCACGGAATCCTCCTCTGTCGTCATCTCTCCCTGATCCACCGTCGCCGCGCTGCACACTCTCACGGGCGACGTCGCCGTGGCAACCGACGCCAGCCGCCGCGGCGTTACGCCGGCACCCCTCGTCTGCTTCCCCACGGGCGTCACCCCGGCGCCGCGCGTTGCCGTGGCGACCGGCGTCACCGTCGTCTGCGCGTCGGCCGTCGTTGCGGGCGTCGTTGCCGTCGCCGCGGCGACGTAGCGTCGCGGGCTGTCACCGACACCCGCGTCCGTCGCACGCTGCTGCTGCTGCTCTCCCTCCTCTTCCTCCTCCTCCTCCTGCTGCTGCTGCTCCTCCTCCTTCTCCTCCTCTGCCTGCTCCTCCTCCTGCGCCTGCTGCTGCTGCTGCTCCTCCTCCGCCTTCTCCTCCTGCTGCTGCTGCTGCTGCTGCTCCTCCTGCTGCTTCTGCTGCTGCTGCTGCTGCTGCTGCTGCTGCTGCTACCCCTCCTCTTCCTGCTGTTCTTTCTTCCGCTCCTCCTGGCTCTTTGGCTCCTCCTCGCCCTCGTCGGCGTGTATGAAGGAAGGATCGAAACAGACACGTCGCAGCCTGCAGGCATACAGCTAAACGTCACCACGAGGTGGCGCCAGGGAGCGCCAGCCAAACGCCAGGGGGCGTCGCTTATTCACCGATCGGTGACGTAATTTACGCGAATACACAGAAAACATGGACC